TGAACCAGTGTACACTAGTGCTTGTATTACTTGCATTGACTCCAGACTTAGTGCAGCCAGTACAGTGAATTCGTGCATTGAGTTCTGTTGCACTGGAACAAAAAATACCGTTGTTGACGCCATTTTAGGAACAGAAAACGTTTTAGGTTTTTACACTTTTTGAACTAGTACAACCAGTGCAGGAACAGAAAACAAATCTAAGATTTGCTCCTGCTCCGTTTCTGTCGCCAATCTACTGTTTGGTCATATCGCATATGAATAGGTTCTGTCGACAGAATAAAAGCAAAACACGGTCACGGAGTTGATTTCAGCTGACATTTCTAATCTGATGCCAGTTTGCCGACATTTTGCTAACATTGTTGTGCTTACTGGATATCTCAGCAGGAGATCGATCATATAATCTTTTTCCTAGCGCTAAACGTGGAAAGTTCCCACGCAGGGTGATATTTCATTTGTGCATTTTTATCGTACGACAAATTTTTCAAGCCTGTTGATTGGCTATCGGATAGAGAGATCCGAGAACTTCTCTGTTCTGCACACATTTGTCGTACGACAAAAACGCATGAATGCACCCTTCACGAGGTCTGACAAGGAACTATCTCGGTTTATATAACAAGATAGTGAAAATCCTTGATATCAATAAACGTTGACAGCATAAGATGTAAATTAAGGAAAAAGACAAGAGCATATAGATCATAGGTTTCAAGAAATTTAATGTTATACTGCATGGTAAAAGTTCTAGAACGATTAATATTTCAAAAAATATTGATTTATCTAAAAAATGTTTGAAATAAAAGTAATAGGATTTTAGTAATATTATCAGATGATGATATTAATTTGAGCTTGGAATGACCTTGGAAAGTGCTTTCAATATCAACACAAAAATCTTAAACGGAACTCCCTCATTTTATAACGTATCTTTGTAGCTGATATTGAGACGTTTCCAAAACTCTGATTACAAATTTTTCCGTAAGAACTTTCCGAGTTATGGCATTTGAAAGTTATTGTATCGCTGGCATTAGCATTATTCAAGGTGTCTCGCGTGAAAGTTGCACGGTTGAATTTACACTTTTGTTTTGTGTGTGTGTGTAAAGTAATAATAATAATTTAAAGTAGAATTAAGAGAAAAAAAGGAAGCAAAAGATACAAGACGGACGATATTATATTAGTCGCGGCGTAATAGGATAGGCTTGCGCGTCGTGTGAAACTAAAAATGCTGTCGTCAGGAATACGTGCGTATATGTATATGTACGTAAGCGCACGAACGCGCGTGATGCTAATGCCGACGATAACTTTCGAATGTCATAACTCGGAAAGTTTTTATGAAGAAAAGGTTTGTAACCAATGTTCTGGAAATGTCAAATTAATATCATTATCTGATAACTTTTTTAAAACTCTATTACTTTTGTTTCAAATATTTTTTTAGATAAACCAATATTTTTTGAGATATTAGCCGTTTTATCATGCGCTATAACACTAAATTTCTTGGAATTTACGATCTATACGCTCTTGCTTTTTTTCTTAATTTATATCTTATACTATCAATTTTTACTGATATCAAAAATCTTCACTAATTTGTTATACAAACCGAAATGGCTTTTTGTGAGTAGCGAATACTAGAATCATTCTAGTGAGAGGCGAGAGAAAAAACCGAAAGGACGCCATGTTTCTTATCGGAAATGGCTAATAATTCTTATTCTTCTTTAATAAATAACCTGCCTTTCCTCGAAAAATAAGAAGGGGGTCAATACGGCCAAAATTAGATTGGCGATAATTAACTTAGATCGAAGCGAAAAAACGTCCGTCCCGGCGTCATCATCTTGATAAACGTGGTACTACATCTATAAAAATTGCTCTCACCCTGGTGAAAGTTTT